GATGGAGCCAGGATCTGGGCAGGCTGCCTGAAGACCAAGGCAGCACTCGGGACGATGGCACCTGGTCCTGGACATCTCGGCCCCCAGCTTGCAGGTGAGGGCACTGAGGCCTCAAGGACAAGAGTCCAGCAAAGGTGACCGGGCCTGCCAGCTTCTCCCTGGCACACAGCCTCCCAGGAGACCCCAGCACCCAGCACAGAACCCGGAGCTCAGACACGCACTGAGAGCAAGTGCCCCACGCCCACCAAAATCCAGGGAGCGCAGCAACCCCAAATAAGGCCTCCCCTGTGCCCCCCGGAGCGGCCGGACGGGGGAACTCAGAATGTATCTTAGAAGGGGAAGAACACCACCCTTCTCTTTTCCCTGGGGCTCTGGTTATAAGACAGCTGTGATCCTGTCTCTAGGCCCAAACAAAAGTGCCCAACGGGTCGCCCGCCAGCCCCTGCCGCTCCAGGCATTCTTGCCGACAACTCAAAATAACTGCATAATGTGTCGTAAAATGATAAGTGGGGTTCAAGTTTAATGGGCAGAACAAAATCTACTATTCTTAGTCATTGGAAGGATTTTTGGAGGAGGAACAACTCTCAGATCAGATGTTCACATCAAGCCTGCCCCCTCCCACCCCCAATCACCACACACACACACACACTGAACTGTTTAATGACTGGAATTTTTTAAACTTTCCAAAGAGATGTTTCTGGAGACCCAACCTCCTCTCCTCAACCAGAAGGAGCCCAGCCTGGCCAAGGGGTGGTCTTGCCCCCCACCCCCTCCCAGCTCAGACACCCACAGGGTCTTGGCGCTGAGACCAGCCTTGGAGACCCGAGTCCAGGTCCTCATGACTCCTGCCAAGTTGCTTAATTTCTTCAGATGTCAGCTTTCTCACCAGCCAAATGGGTCCGATGGGCCTAAACATCGGATGAGAAAATGAGGTCTGTGGAAGGGCCGGGCCCATTGGGAAGCTCTCGGAAAACCACGGTCCACCACCTTTGCCTTCGCCAGGGCCACCTCGCTGGTTTCCGGATGCAGAGGCCAGGGGAGCAGGTGTCTGTGCTAGGATCCCCCACGGGGCTGTCTCTGGCTGCTCAGCCCGCCAGGCCCTGCACCAGCTGGTCCTAAGGCTTCTCACCTGTCTGGGCGTGACAATGTCCCATCACATCTCCACTCCCCAGATGAGGACGCTGGTGTCCAGGAAGTACGTCTTGCCCAAAGGGTGGCCACTTGAGCTACGGGGGACCCCAGCAGGCCGGGGACAGGTAGCGGGCCGTCCAGGCAGCTTTGTGTAGGAACCGGGGAGCTGGGGCAAGAGGTCAGGGCTGGGCGCTGGAGCAGCCAGCATGACCTGGAGGGCTGCTCAAGACCCTGCCACCTGATTCTCCAGAACTTGCCTGAAAAATCCCTCTGATGCCAGCCTGGCCCCGCCCCCACCCCCACCCCCATCCCCCAGTGTGTGCACCGGGGCTTCCTGCCCACTCTGGGCCACCAGTGAGTCACGACCCTTTGCATTTTCTCTGTTTCCTTGTGACTCAGTGTCCGGTCCAGCCCAGATCACCCCTTGGAGGGAACGCCCGGGCATGGAGAGGGTGACTGAGCAGATGACCTCAGGGTCTGTCCCCTTTCCCATGGAAGCCGGCCTCTCGCAGGTGGGTAGGAGCAGCGCTCCGTCCCTGGACCGCGGGGCTCAGGCCGCTGGCTCTGCAGCCGGGTTTCCACGGGGCTGCCTCTGGGAGGAAAGGGGTGTCCTCTGCGTGGCTGTCACGGGGCTCGGGTTCAAGCCCCAGGACGCCGGCCATCCTCCCCTCTGACAGAAGCTGAGTGGCCGTGGTCCACCCTCCTCCGTGAGCCCGGAGCCGCCCTCACTCACGGTGAGGATGCGTGGCGGGTGCTGGGCCCCGAGCCTGGCACCCCAGTGACCGCGGCCGCAGTGGGTGCCTCGCTTTGCTTTCCCTGCCAGGGTTTGGTGCCTTTCCAGATACCCCTGGGAATCTGGGGGTGCCTGCCACTCCTCAATCCCACTCTACTTCCAGACGATTGTTTAAAAACCCTGTGAGCGCCACACAGACCGCAAAGATACAGGAGGTTCTTCCCATACCGGGTCCCTGCACCAGGCACCCCGCCTTCTGCAAAGGCCGCCAGGGGCCCCGGATTTGAGGGTGACACCCCTGACTCAGGCAGCACCCCGGCACAAGCTTCCTGTCAGCGCCAGACCCCAGGGGGCTGCCTCCAAACGGGGGACCTGGAGCCCCGCAGGGTCCGCCGAGGCAGCCCCCACATTCCGCTGCCTGGCCCTGTCTCGCACAGTCGAAGGCAAAGAGGCCTCCGCAAGTGAGGACTGGGCTCCGTGACCGAATAAGGCGATATTACATTTCACTGTTTATGTGCCCGAGGGGCACCCGGGAAGCGGGTTCTCGCTGTCTCTCCGTTCCCAACACCCATAACTCTGCCCACAGCCAGTTACCACGTCCTTACAGAAACAACCATCTGTCACGTTTCAAATACAAACCCAAGAGGTGACCCCGTCTCGCCTCCACGCACCCTGGTGCTGGCAGAACCCGGCTTTAAACGTCCACACGCGTGATTTAAAGGGCGGGGGAGCCCCTGGGAGTTTTATTGCAGGGCCTGAGCGAAAACACAGGCGCCTCCGACAGGGCAGACCTCGCGCTCTATCTGGGAGGTGCCTGGCTCTGCCCTGAGAATTTATCTCAGACTTGCTTTTGCAAGTAAGACCGTTGCTGCAGCTAAGAACTGTGGGTGACCTTCCTTTCCCGACAGTATTTATAAAACGACATGCACCGTTGCCAGGGCCGAGTCTTAGTAATTGGTGTTAATAAGACAAGTGTAAATGTTGGAAACCCATTAGGAGGCTTTACACGCCAAACAAAGCCTCAACTTGCTGGCATCTGCACCCTGCGTGTGGACAACCCACCCTGCAGCTAAGAAGACGCCGACCTGGGGATTCGGCCTGGCACGGCCCTGCCGGAGTGGACCCGTTTAAAGCCCAGGATGAGGGCACGAATCCTACAAGGCGGCCAACAGGACAGCATCAGTCTCACCTTCGAGATGGAATTCTCTCCCCACGGCACCCTTTGCATCGCCCCAGGCACTGCTTGACTCAGGAACCAGCTACTTTCATCTCCGCTCTCTGCCTCAAGGCATCCTTTCTGGGCATCTAGGTGCTCAGGACATGTTTCCCGGAGGGGAGAACGAGTCCGCAATGAGGGAGTGAGTGAATAAATGAACGAGTGAATAAATGAACCAGTGAGTGAATGAATGAGTGAGGGGAGGACTAAGTGAATGGCCGATTAAGTGAATGAATGAATGCAACACATCACTGCATCCCTCCAATGGCAGCCTCTGACACACCTCCCGTGACTCCCCGAGGTCATGCAGGCTGGGTCTGCAGTGGCCGAGGGACCCAGGACCAGCTTTAGAATGAAGCGCTTGAGCCCGGAGTTGGTTTCTGGAGAGGCCCACAGCGATCGGTCCTCAGCCTTTCTGCCCTGCCACCCCCCAAAGTCCCCTGCCCCTCTGAGCCTCCCCAACCCGCCAGGGAAGGTCTCCCACATTCCCTCACCCAGCCACCGCCCTTGTCCGCACCCTCACGCCCCTCCCCCACGCAGGAGAGCAACAGGAGTGAGTGCCAAGCAGCCGCGCTGTCACCAGGGCCAGGGCTCTGCTGTCATCTGCACCGGTGGAGGCATGTCAGGCGGCTCGGCTGGCCTGGAGCCCACATGGACCGGGCCCCACGGCCACTCCCAGGATGGCTGCTGTCAAACCCGCCCCCGCAAAGGAAGTGCGGTTCACCTTCCCAGATGACGAATATCTCGGGGCCGAATGCGTCTTTGTTTGAAAGCACGTCATTGGGAATCAGACCCACCTGCCCTGTGGCCAAGTCACCTGGCATAGCCGTTCATCCAATGCCCGCCGCGTGCTGCCGCACCAGTGAGCAGAGCGGGCAGGGTCCATGGCCTTGAGACAACCCGGTGACATGAGAAGCAGCAGCGTGTGTGGAGCACCCACGGTGTGCTCAGAGACCTGTGCTCAGCGGTGTTTCTGCATTTCCCCCACGTTTAGCCTGCAAACCACTGCAGCTCCTCTCTCAGCTGAGAAAACAGAGACCCCAGGACAAGCAACGATTTACTCCTTTCCTGCCTTTCTGTTCACCAGCCCTGTCGCTGGACAGCCACCTGCCTGGGCCTCCCCCCCATCACCCGTGACAGGGAGACACACAAGCCTTCGTTTGCAGGGCTGGTGAGAATATTCAAGGAGATAACATCCGGCCAGTGGCTGGCAC